TGTAGGATATTTAGTGGTAAACGCTCAAGTTTTTCCGGGGAAAATGAATATGTTTATTCCATTCTATCTCTGCTAATTTATACACAATTAACAGAGAAAATAACTCAACAAACAACTCTTAAATATCTCAACAACTTAGAATTAAAACAAGATAATGAAAGACTAATTCAAAATAAAACTAATATGCAGTAAATATAGCATTTTCTATCAGGTTTAAAACATACCCTAGGTGCTACAATTCAACAATGTATTCGTCAAGGTATGTACTGTATTAATATGCAAAAGGGAGACCAATAAAAATAGACAGCAAATAGGTTCACAGTGTTTCTGTAGTTGAACTCCCAAATCTATAATACAACAGTACAAATAAACCCATGTACTTACATCCAAAATGCTATTCATGTGAACAAACTGCCACATTTAGCTGCACAAAGCCAACAAAAAAAAAAAAAAAAAAAAAAAAAAAAAAAAAAAAAAAAAACTAATGCAAATAGATTCAACATGTGTAGAGAACTGTATACCTGCTATATGTTTGTATACATAAATAAATTAAAAAATAGATGTCAAAATTAGACTAAGGTTCTCTGCATATGCATGTAATTTAAATCAGTAATGATGCTTCTATATGAGATGGTGCTTACTGAATGGTAATTCTTTTTTTTTTTTAAATTATCTCAGAATAGTGAAAGAAAATCTCCTTGCTCTTGAGTGTGTCGCTTCCTTTGCGTTCTGGTATATTTCAAAGGACCTGCAAAGATAAACATTGAAACCTTATTTGTTTTCAAAAGAAAGTTGAAAGTGGATACAAAGGTTAATCTTAATCTTGTAGCAATTGTCCTCTTCCACGTGATTGCTTTCCCAATAGGCCAAATACAGCTTCACCATTTTCCTCCATTCTCCACAGGTTAAATACGGGAGCTGCTAGGTTGCAAACGATTTTATAGGAAAAGTATGCAGCATTTAGAGTTCTAAAAAGCCTCAAACATTAAAGATGATGCACTGGACAGTGTAACGCCAAAAGCAAACCAAAGGCTGCAACTACTTAATTTTTGAATTTAAATTTAAATTTACTTTTTATATTGAAAAAAGTTGTTATTAATGCGGCTGCCAAAGTATTATTATGTGTATAGTAACAAATTCTCACAATTTTGGGAAACCCAAAAGGTGGCTGATGATATACAGTTTAGGTTAATAGTAATTGATTGAAATACAAACTCATTTATTACAAAAGCTAATCCGGATGTATTTAAGCGAAAAAAAATGGTATACTACAAAACGTCATAGTTTTAAGTGGGTGGGAAAATGGAGCCATTTGATTGGCCAAATTCTTATGCCTTTATTATATAGTAGGATAGTAGGATTCTACTTTCTCCTCCTTGCAAGAGATCACAAAGCCTGGACCAAGTAACCCATTTTGGATTCCCCATCATTGAAACATGCATGCTCATTCACCAAACATTAAACTAAAATTCTTTTTAAGAAGTTTGACAACTATAGTTTAGGAATGAGCAAAGCAAGAGCATTTTTATCCATTCAACCAAATTTCATGTTAAGAAAATTTAGAATACGTTTCCACAAGAAAGGAGAAACAAGTAGAGTATTCAAAGTTCATAACAGTAGGACGGGACACAGAATGAAGAGATAAAACCATAATCTAGCACTCCTACCAATCAATGAAGGTCTTCATTTGCAAGCAGGAGAGGACCGACCATTCATTTTGTTTTTAAATCTAAATAAATTATAATTAGCTTTTCAAAATAATCTTCACTAATATGACAATCATTCAGGGCTCACTTTGTTAATTCCGAATAGCAGACAGAAAGCTCTTAGCAAATCAACAGGTAAATAGGTAAAGTGGCATACCTTCTCTACCATCCGCCATCGAAGACAAGTGGGCGTTTTGGACCATGGTCCACAATATTAATACATGAGACAATATCAGTTTAGATACACTATAGTGTCTGCCGTTTTGGACCATGGTCCACAGTATTTATACTGATGTGTTGTCTGCAAGTGCAAATCCTTTTTACTTTTTCTTAGTTGTAATTAAATGGGTGAATTTTTATGTGCCATATGTGTTAATTGTCTATGTGCAACGTTAAATAAATTAAACAATTAAACCCACAGACTTTCCATAGCTTGTACCCACCACTTTCTCAATGCTAAACCAATATTGTGAGTTAATTAAATAATGTTATGTCAATAGTATCGGCGAGAGTGAATAATATGATGAAACTAAATGATGTTTGAGAGTGAAATGCAAAGCAATTGAGAAAGAGTAAGGGTGAGAGATCTTTACTGTCATGCTGCTCAGCTTGAATTTGCTTGGGTGACATCATGGCAGAAGGAAGACAATTGAAATTGTGATACTTAATTATTTAGGATAAAATTGATTGTTACTTATGATAAATATTGTAATACTTATAACTAAAAGTCTAAAATTGTGATACTTGTAAAGTGTGCGTTCATTGAGCATCTTACCCGATTGTCTACAACTCGATCCATATCACAGATAATGATTCGTGATTTGATTTCACACAAGTTTTTGCTCGGCACCATTAGTTAAAAAGAAAGTTAATTACTCAATTAGAAAATGCCATGTAATGAGGGGAAGATTGTAAGAGAAAATTTTGGAGGGGTGGGTAGCTTACTCTGATTAATTATAAATATAGATCAAGCTAATGCAGCTACGTTTTGAAGTCAAAGAGATTTCATCACTATTAATATTGTTGATCAAAATATTTGTACAATTCTTAAATCCATGTCTAGCAAGCCTTAAATCCAGCAGATTATATTGTTCATTCCTAGAAGCAGCCAATACATGCAAGACAGTAATATAGTAATCTATACCCTATTCAAATTTGCAGCTGAAGAACCGGTGAACCAAAATTGCAAAAACCATCTGCTCTTCCCACACCCTTCTTTTATTGCATTTTGGCTCTACGTGGGCCGATCCGATCATCAGTATTGCAATTAATTTGCAGCTTTAGAGTCTTTCTTTGCTATAGCTTTGCATCATCTACTCCTCATCTTCATCAGACTTATCTTCAAGAGAGCGAGGCTGTCATGAATCAATGAAAACAAACTAGTATGTGATGAAACTAAATGATGTTGGGACAAAAATTAAAGGAGATCAGAGTGAAATAAAAAGCAATTGAGAAAAAGAAATGGAGATTGATTGAGAGACCTTTATTGTGTATTTCTCAATGACAACCGTATTCTCGTTTCCATAGTCATGCTGTTCAGCCTCAATTTGCTTGGCAGACATCACTGCAGAATGAAGACACCTCTTTAATTGGATTAAGTTCAATGTTGGAATTTCTGCATAGCTATTCGGGATCTCTCTCAATTCACAGCAATCATTAAGGAATAGGCGCTCAAGTTTTGGAAAATTATCAGCACCAGCTTCCCAATGCTTGAGATTACCATGCGAAATTTTCAAACAAATTAAGTGGCAGAATTTCACATTCTCTGGTACTTCCCACTTTTTTCCAAGCTCAGAATACCTTAACTTGAGCACCTCAAGCCTTGATAACTTGCTCAAAACATTAAATACCCTCCACTCAGATTTCAAATCATCAAACCTCAGCTTCCTAATGTTTTTCAAGAGAAGAATATTGTTAATGATTTGAGGCATCATATCCGGAATTCCATCGGTAACAACATAAAGAGACAAACTCTCAAGCTGTTGTAAACAGACAAGGTTCTTAATGCAATCATTGGGTTCGTCCATATTGGGTTTGCGTATAATAATGCGATCATTGGGTTTGCGTATAATAATAGATACCTTCTTTAGGTATGGAACTTTTGTTATGGACTCTTGGTCGCATTGGCTAGCCTGCAAACAAGAAATGACCTGCAAGTTTTGACTAACAGATTTGGGAAAAGATCCAATATGTTCACGACAGTATATATACTGTAGTTTTGGAAACTTCAAATGGTCCAATCTTATATCAGCACTACATGTTTGAAGATTCCAAGCGTTGGAGACTAATGAACTACGATAAAATGAAATCTCCATTATCCGTAGGTATCTCAAATGGATATGAACAGTCGAAGTTCGCGAATTCATTTCAACAATATAGAGTACCCTCAGTAGGCTGAAATTTTCCAAATTTATTGAAAGTTTGGGCCACCGCTGAAAATAAAAGATGGACCGGCAGTGTTTTGACAAAGAATGTAACACAGAGATGTTAAATTCTGACACAATTATCCAACCGACACCTCTCTGAGGGAAATTGGAACCACTTTCGCCAGCAACATGCAAAAAGACTCTGGCTCTGACCTTCTCTTACACAAAAGGCATGCAATAAATCATGTACTCTAAACTCCTTAATTTTTCTTCCACAACTACTTCTTTTGCTTACAAGAATTAAGTTTCTATCCATAAGTTCATTTATGTACCTTTTAGCCACAGCTTCAAAACTTTCGTTCTTGAATGGCTTCACAAGTCCTTCCGCAGCCCATAACCTTCCAAGATTGTTAGCATTTATCTCATAATCTTCTGGAAAAATTCCTAAATATAAAAAACAAGCTTTCAAATTATGGGGCAAGTGACTATAACTCAATGACAGGATTCTCCAACATTCTTCATCATCTAGAGTTGATGTTGAAGAACTTATTAGAGCATTAGCAGTATTCTTCCACTCATCTAGCGTATTGAGTTTTGAAAATAAACCTGCTATCACAAGAATTGCCAAGGGCAGTCCTTTACATTTCTCAACAATTGGTCTTCCAATTGTCTCAAATTCAACACCATGAGATTTGCATGCCTTTTTATGAAATAATTCCCAACTTTCACTTTGATCTAAAAACTGCAGTTGATGCGAAAAGTAATTGTTAGAGCCAATACAAGTAGCCATCTCTGCAATGCGAGTAGTCAATAATACTCGACTCCCATTTATATCATCTAGAAAGCAAGAGTTAACATCATTCCATGACTCTCTACTCCATACATCATCCATCACTACCAAGTACCTTTGACCCTTCAAACTTTGGTTGAGCTGTAATGCTAGGTCCTCATCACTGTTGTTGTTTACATTGTCTTTAGAACTAAGAAGACCTAAGAGCATTTGCCTCTTATTGTGATATTGTGATACAACAACACATAGTCGTCTGTCAAAGTGGGAGACAGTTGATGGGTTTTCATAAACTCGTCTTGCTAATGTTGTCTTGCCAATTCCTCTCATACCTTGAATTGAGACAACTTCTCGTTGTTTAGATGAATGTTGTATTAGCATCTTCATTATAATGTCGAACTCATTGTTTTTCCCGACCATTATGTCCTCAGTGTGTGAAGCACGATTGGAGGAACCGGAACCGTCCGTCTTGACAAGTTCATCATCAGATTTTGAAACAACATCATCAACAAGTTTAGTCTCCCTTCCAGCCACAGCTATGACATGCTTGTACTCCATCATGACTTTCTCCAGCTCTTCTTTAATGGCATAAATGTCTTCTATTGCTTGTTGCAATACATGACTAAGTCTATGACAATGCTGGGTTTTCATGGCTTCAGTGTCCCCTTGTCCCATTTCCTCGTCAGCTTCTTTATAGAGATGTACCACATGGAGTTCAATTTCATCTTCTACTCTGAAAGCTACATCTCTGAGCTTTGTTTCCAAGTCTTTAATTGCTTCAACACCATTCATTCTGCTCTCGTCGAACAGTTGTATCAGAAAACCAAGCTTTGAATGGAGAGATTGGATGAGGTCTTTGTTAAAAGGGATGAGTTCCATTTCTTGTAGAATTGGACGAGGCTCAGGTTGCAAGAACTCAAGCTCTAATGTTCTGATAAGAGAATTTACTGCCACACAAGCCATTCTTTTCTTTCTCTCAATCTCTATCTCTATCTCTCTTAGTTGGTGTAGGTGTGAAGATTAGCAGAAGCAAGATGAGTGGAATTGGTAATGCCACTAATCTGATCAGTGCAATAATTCCTTGCCGACAGCTTTTTTTAACCTTTAGCTTTACAGCTCAAAGTTTCCACTATTAATGGAATAATTCAAAAAGTCGGCATTGCCTACTGCTTTTTTTTTTTTTTTTCCCACCCATCAATCAAATACCGAAAGACCGTGACTAAATTTTAATTGATCTAATTTAGTTTTATCATGCAAAATGAGAATATCAATGTGGTATTATCTTTTAAATTTGCAAATTTCATACGGTCTGATTGGTTCGTCGAAAGTATTGGAAGAGGAATAGAATAGAATTGAATTGGAATTTCATTAAAAATAAATTACAGAAAAAACTAATTACATTATTTGGTTGGTAGAAAAAAAAAATTACTAAGAATATTGAAACTACTGTTTGGTTCAATTTGAAATTTTAAAAAATAATGAATATAAAGATCAATATATCCCTCCCACAATAATAAAATTAAAGGTAATTAGAAAAATCGTTTTCAAAAAAAAAATGAAAAGAAAAAGAAAAATCAATGAGCACAAAATTGTCATACTAGTTTTCCATGAAAAAACAAAATACGGGGATGTTTGGTTGGACTTGGATGGAAAACTTTTTTGTAAGGAAAAAGATTTCCCTAAATTTGAGAAAGATGAGATTTTCGTCCGTTTGATTCATGACTTATATTATTTGCCTTTGTGATTCATTCTTACTTTTATTATCATTATTATTGACTTATTATGTATGGACATATAGATCTTTATACTCATAAATTTTTTACAATTTTAAAATAAACTAAATAATGGAATCAATATTTATAGTGTTGTAAAATATTATTTCTTGTAGCCATTATTCCATTTCGGCCACTTTCCTATTTTCTAGGGTCATGGATTGATAGTGTAGGTGTGGCCATTACCCCTTTTTCCTGGAGGATGTATTGTATTCAGTTTTACTCCTATGTTGGATGACTTGTATCTTAGATTGGCGATGTTTAATGAGAATGCGTTTTCCTGGGCTCTCTGCTTCTTCTCTCCTCTCTCTTCTTAGTTATAGAGTGTCGATTACCGATGGACCCGGAAAATTGGACACCTGTTGATTGCCAGATGCTACACCAACTTCACGAAGAAACCTGGCCAATTTGCGACAGACTTTGGCCTCATGCCCATGCAGATTACAAAACCGACATATCGTATTACTGCGAGAAAAACCACCATTATATTATTTTGACGGTTGCCACGAAATCGTCGTTGGTTGTAGTTCCATCCTTGATCACGATTGAAAGACTGTCCAGCGAACCCACTGTTAGACTGTCCAGCTGGTCCATTATTAGCTGTAGGATTTTGTCGCTAGGTAACGTTAGTCGTAACAAGGTGAGATTGTTTGGCTTCTTCAACATCCTTCAACATGCGTTCATGCTCAATCAGAATGTTATAAAGATCACCATAAGTGATTCCTGCTTTCTAGACACGAACAGCAGGAATTATAGAAGCATAATCGTCACCTAGTTGGTTCAACACATAAGCAATTAGATCATCATCATCAACTGGGCTTTCTGCAGCGGCAAGAGAGTCAGCAATTGAGCACATATCCTGAAGGTAGTCAACGACTGAACGAGAGCCTTTAGGATTTTTGGACAGCTTGGTTTTGAGATAAATGACTCTACCCTTAGAATCATTAGCATAGCTTGTTACAAGTCTTGACCAAGCTTGTTGTGCGGTAGCTGCTGACGAGATGAGAGGTTGGATAGTCTCTGAGCAGCTCCCTAAAAGGGCACTGATCAGGATTTGATCTTGGCGATACCATGCAGTGTAAGCCGGATTTGTGGCTCGTTGTGCTGTATCAGTGAACTGAGGTGGTGCTGTTTTCGAACCATCAACATGGCCTAGGAGATCAAGGCCGATTAACATGGATGTTACTTGTCGCTGCCAAACCGAAAAATTATTATCATGAAGCTAGATGGGGAAGTGAGTTGGAGCATTTAAATGAATAAGAGTTGTTGTGGTAGAAGCGGAAGCCATTGGGTGGAAAAGGGAACTAAGAAGGAAAAAAATGGATCTTTGAAAAAAAATCTCGCTTAGAGAGCTTCGGCTCTTGATACCATATAGAAGTTGCGTGAAGAACTCAATTCATTATTCACAAGGAAGCAGGCTATTAATAGCTATACAATGAGATAAAATAGGCTATGAAAAGCAACAACACAAACCTATTCTACAGGATAGGAAAATAACTAATAAACACTGAGTCAAAAATAATGTAAGCAATTAATCCTCAATATCGTACAATGATGTATTTTCGCCATACGATTTCCCACAACAAGTTATCAGCACAATTGTTCTGATGAATGTATGTCCGGTAAGAAAAGATGAGCGTTGTTTCTTGGTTTTCGCCATCTACGTATCAAGTTTCAAGCTAAATCACCTACATCACCGGAGCATGATGGTTAGTTCATTGTTTTGTCATCGCCAGTGTTGTGTCCCCTTGGCAAGTAGAGGCATTGCTATGTTTTGGCACCAACAGGAGGCGACGGGGTGAGCATCGCTTGAGGCTTCGGCGCTGGTCACTCATGGCATCTGCACCGCTGCTGGCCGATCGACGATCTGACCACCGGCAATTGACCGCGACGAAGGGGCGACTGCAGTCGTGCCGTCCGAGCCATGATCGGACGTCGGGATCGCCGACAAAGATGTCGTAGACGGGACTTTGGGAAGATTGCGAAAATACGCAGAAGGTCGTCGATCTTCGCGAACAGTCTTGCGACCAAGAAGCCAAGGCGAGGTCCGGCGATCTGTGAACCAAAATTAAGGCACAAAGGGCCGATTGCACCAGGAGCGCAAATTATGCCGTGCAATCGTGTGCACCATCATGGTGCACATGGTTGCAAAACGGCGTCATTTTGATTAAAAAAGCGTTGTCCGACTTTTTTAAAAAATCCATTTTTTTATGGCTGTTAACGGCATTATGCCTTGCATAATTTACGGTTTCCTTTTGCATTCAAACTTTCCATTCGCGAATTTTGGTAGTTTGGATGTTAGTCTCTTTGAAATCGCAATCGCAATCGCAATTTAATATCAAAGTCGCAAGGGTGTTCTGATTTCGTTTATGGATTCTTCGATGGAGGAGACAACAAATCAGAGAGATCAAGCAGTTGATGGATTGCATATGATTCCAGGTTATTTGCAATTGATTTTGTCGATTTTTGTTAATTTGCATTTGATCGTTTGTGATTTTTTTATGGGTTTGAGATCTTTTGCGATTAATTTGTTTTTAGCAGTATGATTTATTGATTTTTGTGTTTAGAATTTTCTAGTTAGATTGATTATTTACAATGTAAGTGATGTTTGTGATTTTGTATTGGAGATTATTCACAAGTTGGGGTGTTTATGTGTTTATGATTACGGCAGTTCGTTGCGTCTGTGTATTCAGAATGAATGAACTATATATATATCCAGAATTAATGAACTATATATCCAGAATTAGTGAACTATATATCCGAACCGGTTATTGATACTCGGTTTTCGATTGTAACATAAATGTTCAGAAATTGCACGTTACATGTTCATAATTTTTTATGTATATATTCATAATTGTTGAAATTGTTGATTTATATTGCAGTGAGTGAAGATTTTGTGGTTGATTCATTAAGTTCAGATCAAGTAGAGTTAGACATTGATGGCTCTTCTTCGATTCCAGGTTTATACCTTTTTTTTTTTTTTTTTTTTTTTTTTTTTTTTTTTACATCCAATTAGCAAATCAGGTTGATTTTGGAGTTGACTTTATTCTATGTGTTGTGTTGGTTGATATCATGAAATTTGTGATTCTGTATAGAGATTCATAATTTTTGAACTGTATATTCATAATTGTTGAACTATAAATTCATAATTTTTGAACTGTATATTCATAATTGTTTTTTTAATCTTTTTATGGATTTTTTGTTATGGAACTGTCAAGGGGCGAATGGAAAGTCATTCCGTCGCGCCCTAAAAATTCTCTTACAGGTCCACAAGCCAAGTATCATTGCTTTATTCGAGCCAAAGGTTTCAGGAGCTCAGGCCAACAAGATCTGTTCCACGCTCGGGTTTTCTAACTGGGTCCGGGTGGATGCCGTGGGCTTTAGCGGGGGCATTTGGGTACTCTGGAAAGACCCGGTGCAAATTTCAATTCTCTTTACTCATCCGCAGTTTATGTTATTGTAGGTGTCCCAAGTTGGCCAATCACCCTGGGTGTTTGCCCCAGTTTATGGTAGCCCAGCTCTTCACCTCAGACGCAGACTATGGCGTGATCTGTCTCAATCTAAAAGGGGTTCACAAGGACCATGGCTCGTGGCGGGAGACTTCAACTCGGTTGTCAATAGGGATGAAACGGCAAATTATACTTCGTTTTCGTCCCAAAGAAGTGCTGATTTTGTCAACTGGATTCATGACGAAGGTCTCATAGATTTGGGCTTTACGAGGTCTAAGTTGAATTGGGTGAAAGAAGGGTCAAAAGATTTTATCAAAGGGGCTCGCCTTGACCGGGCCTTGTGCAATTTTGACTGGCGCGTAAGATTCCCAGCTGCCTCGGTGGACCACTTGCCGCGGGTTGCATCGGATCATGCCCCGATCTTGGTACGTTTATCCGGGGTCCGTAGAAATAATCCAACTAACCATTTCCGTTTTCATTTTCAGGCTGCCTGGCTTACACATCAGGACTTACCAAATGTAGTTCAAGAAACTTAGGACACCAACACTGGCTTGATCGAGAATGTGCAAAAGGTTACACACGGCCTAAATGTTTGGAATAAGGAGGTGTTCGGGAATATTTTTAAACGGAAGAAGGATCTGCTGGCCAGGATTGGAGGTATCCAACGGATTCAAGCTAATAAATCTCACAGCGGCCTGGGAAAGCTGGAAAAGAAATTACAAAGCGAGCTCGAAGATACCCTGTATCAAGAAGAGCTTTTGTGGTTCTAACGGTCTAGAGAAGACTGGATAACGTCGGGGGACCGAAACACCGCATATTATCACGCGGCTGCTACAATTCGTAAGTCACGCACGAGGGTATCGGGGCTCATAGATAACGGTGGGAATTGGCTTTTCGAGGGGGCAGG